GCCGCGGCCGCCGATTATGCCGATTGCTGCACGCAGCGCCCCCTGCCGCCTTGCTCACGAACTACCAGTAGTTTTTCCCCCGCGGGTTATTTCCTTCCCCGGGCAGACGCTCCGCTATTTGCATCGGTTGCATCCGACCACACGGCGCGCTGTTCTCCCACTCGCTCCCCCCGCTCACGCTCTGGCTTCCCGATTCGTTTCTCCGCCGTCGCCGTCGTCGTGGCGTGTCCGCCGACGCGATAAGAAGCGCGTTCACTTGTCTGTCGTCTGCTGCGACGTGTCGGCGTCGTCACGCGAGATCGCGAGCGGCTCGACACCTGGCTTAGAGAAAGAGAAAGATAGAGAAAGTGTGTAACATTGTTTTGCAGCATCCTCCCACGCGCGCTCCCTGACAACCGCCGTTGTTTGTCTCACTCGCACATCGTACGCCGTAGCCGTAGCCGTAGCCGTAGCCGTCACACGTATAGCCGTATCTTACTATAATTTGGCGAATGTTGTATGTATGTATGTATGTTAATGAAAGGCTCCGTCAGTTTGGATCCAAATAGCGCCAAATTCACAGAAGAGATCGATGAATACACGGGACGGATTCTAAACTATGCTCGGTTGAAAAACCGTAAAAAAAGGCTTAAAAAAGACAAAAAAGACAAAAAAGGTAAACATTTGCCTGAAAATAGGGGGCGCTATATCTCTTATTCATGCTGTCTGTGCACAGCGCGGGCGTGCGGTGTACTTGCGTGTTGCAGACGAGCATTTCACTGGCATTTACAGGTGATTATAGGCGAAATAGAGTAGAGAAACATTAAGACTTTGGTACATTTCGTGTTTATTTACGATTCATTTTTTTTATTGAGACGTTCCAAGTGCCTGTGATCTCAACCATAAAAACAAACATGTGCAACAACTAAACTCTCCATATAACACCCTACACGTAACACTACTGGTAACACGTGCATCACAGTCACTAAGCCCACGCTTAGCGCGGATTCCAGCTAGTACACATAACACACACAGAGACACATATACCCAAGTGCTCGACATAGACACATCTCACTATCGCTCCTTGCTCCTCGACAACCACCTATGCATACAGTTGCTCATTGTTTACCGTATATAGCCGCTGCTACTACCGTCCCGCACCTGTGAGCGAGCGGTGCGGTTCACACGTTAATGATTAATGCGTGCTACCTGGGTCATTGTTCCACGCGCCGCGTCTCTCGCACCTGAGTCGGCCGCTATTCGGCTGCTATTCGGTCGATGGGTGAATTTGCGCGCGCGCGGCGTTGGCGTGTCTCGTCTGGCGCGCGCAGAGCTAGTTTGGTCTGACACCTATATATGGCATGATTCCGGTGGGAGATTTTTTACATGTCGAGGGAGTTTCGTTGTGCAGGTGAAGCATAGCTGTAGTACTAGCAGAGCACGTCGCTGCGGCGCTGAAACTAGAATGACGACGGGAGGAGGGGAGGAGGGGAGGAGGAGTACGATGAAGAGAATGCATGAAGAAGAAAAAAGTAATGATGAATAAGAAGAAGGAGGGGGAGGGTGTGCGTAGCGAGGAGGAGAAGGGGGAGGATGAGAAGGAGGAGCAGCATTACCAAAGTCTTAATGTTTCTCTACTCTATTTCGCCTATAATCACCTGTAAATGCCAGTGAAATGCTCATCTGCAACACGCAAGTACACCGCACGCCCGCGCTGTGCACAAAAAACATGAATAAGAGAGACATGAATGATAATAATAATTATGAATGATAACATAACATGAATGATGTGAATGACATGATGACATGATGTGAATGACATGATGATGTGAGTGACATGAATGATAACATGAATGATAACATAACAACATTAATACTCTCTTTAGTCTTATTCATGTTGTTTGTGCACAGCGCGGGCGTGCGGTGTACTTGCGTGTTGCAGATGAGCATTTGACTGGCATTTACAGGTGATTATAGGCGAAATAGAGTAGAGAAACATTAAGACTTTGGTACATTTCGTGTTTATTTACCATTAATTTTTTTTATTGAGAGGGTCCAAGTGCTTGTGGGCGTACTACTGAAGGTGCGTGCACATCGTACACGTGCCTGAGGTTGTATGCGTTATCTTTCTATCTGAGGTAATCTTCGATAGAAGCTATTACACCTCTGGTACGTCGGTTTACTACGGTACTGAACGTGCATGTACATCCTGCAGGTGGTATGTTTCTATCTGAGGTAATCTTTGATAGAAGCTATGCTATTACACCTCTGGTACGCCGGTTTACTACTGAACGTGCACATAGTACATGTGGTATCAGGGGTTAATAATGACAAACAATAATTTGTCATTTTTAACCCTTGGTGATATCTTTCTATCTGAGATAATCTTCGTCGCTTATCTTGTCAAAACAAAATAAAAAAGATTTTTCACCTACCTACCTACTCGGTACCCTGAGAGGCGAGTAGGTAAAGGGGAAACAAACATTTTTAAGGGTGGCCTTATACTATATATATTACTATTACTATACCAGCGTATTTACTACTATTATACTATAGTTACTCCTACTAATATACTATAGTTATTACTATTACTATACCAGAGTATTTACTACTATTATATATACTAAACACATGTGCTCTTACCTTTATGTTATACGCTGAAAGTAGCAGTAATACTACAGAGTACCTCATAGAAATATGAAACAATTAATTTACTGTCGTTCGACCGCAAACGATTTTAGCGCATATCGTGTTTCTCGCCGTAACGGGTTTGCTGATTGCGCCTTCAATTATAAGCCTTATATTTCTCACCGCGATCTGGTTACTATCGATCTCGCTCGCAAGCATCAAGGTTTTATTCGTGCACTCACCGTTCACTCTCTGATCACAGCACTGTCTCGCAAACCCAGACACGTGTCGGCACTGCTGAATAAACTTGAATGCTAATGTAGCTCCGTCGGTGTAAAAACCTCCATTATGACCTTGAAACGCCGCTGCCTCGTCGCGTGATTTGTGTTGTCGCCATTTTCTCCTGTCGGCGCGGAGATGACGTGATAAATCAGATCAGCGTTTCGTCGGCGACCGCCGCTGCCGACGGACATTTTAGCTGATGAAGCTGTTGCTCGCGCCCGTTAACCAAACTCGCTCTCTCTCGCTCTCGTTTCACGCCATTCCGCTGATGACTTTCGCTAGCCGGCGGTGATCACCCGTGCCTCGGCTGCCGCGGTGGCTGCGGCCTGGGGGGGGGGGGGGGGGGGGG